TTATGAGTACAGCCACCACAAGATGCAAAGCAATGACAGGTTACAATTCAGATGTTATTTGAGGAGTTAAGAAAATACTCTCTTGTTCCCTACAAAATATCACAAAGATACTATGATTTGACTATTGACTAGAAACCTATACATTTGTTGCCAAAATGAAAATATAAAGCACACAAGCAATGCAAAACTGGATTAGCAGTTAAGAAAGACAAGATAGCAAGAATTGCATGATACCCATCGTGAAACTCATGAACTTTCTGGAAAGAGTTCCAGCGTCGAATTCTTTACCAACATCAAATATTGGAATCCAGGTTGAGCCTTTAACCCATGCCTATAAAAGAGGGGGCAAAAAGAGGTTTATTGAAAAATAATGAAAAAGAATGCTATAGAGAAAAAAAAAATCATGTTAGGATGTCTACCTTTTTGTGTTCTGTAGAGGGACGAACATCAAGAAGGGTTTTGTTAGATAGCTGAATTGCATACCCAGCTTCCCTAGGTGTTAAAGCTTTAACCTTTCCTTCCCTAACCTGTATTAATCAAGTTGCTACTACTTCAAAAAATTAACAGAGCACAAATAAATTAAAAAACATATGCAAAAGAAAACACACAACCTTATTCAACAACAACAACAACAAAAATTTCAACTGAAATAAGGCGCAGCAAACGAAAGAATGTTGCTTTCTTTTCTTAAATCCCCAGCTCACTTAAATATATTACCATAAGTTATAAAAATCGTTTTCCGGTTTTTTTTTTCTTTTTTTCTTCTGATTTTATAGGAACTGAGCAACATACCAGAGCTTCCCATCTCTTCTTGGCAGCAGCCACATCCCTCATTTGCTTCAACTCGTAATCTTCATTGTCAGCTTGCATTCGAGTAGCACTCCTACGCTGAATTAAAAACAACAACAAGAACAACCCAGTTGAGAAAACAATTAAAAACAAGAAAAATAAAACAAACCCACTAATTAGAACATGAAAAAGGTGCAGAATTTACATACAAAATGGAATGGTCTGTAACAGGGTCTAAGTTTTAGCGAAGATAAAAGTGAAATGCTTGAAAAGTGTTCTCTTTGACATGGTATTTTGGTGGTTCTTTGTTTCTGAAAACTAGAGCACGAAATGGTGTGGGAGTTGAGAGAAGGAAATCCCAGAGCTTCCATTGCCAAAGAGCTTTTTACGATACTGAGAACCGATTAGATGATTATCGGATTTGGTTTATCTTCCGTTGCGTGTCGTTTGTTGCCAACTTCCAAGTGGCCCGAAACGCTGCGTTCAAGTAGACATGAAAAGAAAGAGAACAGCAGTTCATAACTCATACTTCTAATGAGAACAGCAGGCAACTCAATATAATTTTTACTTTATGTTTCATTCTCTTACACTTAAAACAATGTCATTAATATATTATACAAGTTAACTTTTGCTTTCCAAATTTACTCTTATTAAATGTATTCAATTTATCCAAATAAAAATTCACAACTTTCTTACCATCTTGTTAATTTTTTTTAAACATCAAATATTATTTTAAAGAAAATTTCTGTTTTTTTCACAAAAATAGGAAATGTCCTTTTTTTTAAAACACAAAGGACATTTTTTTTAATTAAAAAAACTAAACCCTTTGTGTTATAAAAAATAAAACAAATAAAAAAAAAAGATACATTTCCTCTTAAAAGCATATATTTTTAAAAATAATTGACGTTAGAAAAAAAATTAATAAGATGGTAAGAAAGTTGTGAAATTTTTTTAGATAAATTGAATACATTTAATAAGGGTAAACTTGGAAAGCAAAAGTTAGCTTTTATAATATATTAATAACATTATTTTAAGTGTAAGGAGAATGACACATGTCAAGCAAAAAAGGGAGAATGTCTAAAGAAGAAGGGTAAAGAGAAAGTTGCTAGCATTCCTCTATATAAAAAAATTATATTGTCAAGTGTGTTTTAAAAGTGAAGATAAGTTTGGTCTCTTTCCAATTTTATGATTTTTGGTTTCTTTTTCTAATAGACTAATTTCATTATATGTGAGCCAAGCGAAGCCTGACGTCATCGTTAATACTAGACAGGCACCAAAATTTATTGATTGGAAGTTGAGAATATGGCAATGATATGAAAGGCAATTTGATGTGAATTTGATTAAACAAAAATGGAATAGGAAAGGGTATAATATCTGTTGTTTTATACTTAAAAGTGGAATATTACGTGTTCACTGAACTGGGTGTTGATTGATTACCTGTGGTGTCATGCCACCCCATGTCCCACATGAAAGGAAAGATTCACAATTATAGAAATTGTGAGTTAAGCAAAGCCTTCACCTTACGTCATCGTTACTAGGAGAAATTTCACCACTGATTCTTTAGTTGAAGGATTGACAGTTTCCATCAATATTACTGTATTACATGCATTCCATTCCAGTTGGTTTTAGTCTGCTTCGATAAGACATAATATTTTAATCAGTTGGTTTTAGTCTGCTTTCCGTACAACATGATATTTTAATCGACTTGCCACTAGGCTCTGCACCGACTGCCATCCTTAGATGCTTATAAGCAGCCATGGCCTTGTTTTAAGGCTCAGAAACAAGCCATGGATTCTCAATCTTCCTTGGTCGTCCTCTTTGTTTTCCTCCTACCCTTTATTTTATTGCTCTTGATCAAGCAGAGGAAGAAAAGCTCTGCTTCTCAAGAGAGGAGGCTGCCTCCTGGTCCTAGGAGGCTACCTCTCATTGGGAACCTTCACAAGCTTTCTAATGGCTTACCTCATCATGTCCTTGAACACCTTGCCCTTCGATATGGACCCCTCATGTTCTTGCAATTAGGCTCAATATCTACTTTGGTAGTCTCTTCAGCCCATATGGCAAGAGAGATCTTCAGAACTCATGACCTCGTTTTTTCCGGTAGGCCAGTCTTGTATGTTGCAAAGAAGCTTAGTTATGGCTGTGTCAACCTATCATTTGCTCCCTATGGTGAGTATTGGAGGGAGATGAGGAAGATTGTGATCTTGGAACTGCTTAGTGCAAAGAGGGTTCGAATGTTTCAGTCTGTGAGGGATGAAGAGGTGGGGCTTATGATTGACTCTATAGCTCATTCTAAGGGTCTCATCAATCTCACTCAACTGACACTTTTCTTAGCAAACAATGTCTTGTGCCGTTCGGCTTTCGGTAAAAAGTATGATGATGGAGGAGGAATTGGCAAGAACAGAATTCATGGATTGCTTGAAGAGGCAAGGGCCCTGTTGGGAGGATTCTTCTTGTCAGATTTTCTACCATGGTTGAGTTGGTTAAACAAGTTCAATGGTCTTGAGAAAAAGGTGGAGAAGTGTTTTAAAGGCTTGGACAATTTCTATGACAGGGTGATTGAGGAACACCTTGATCCTAGAAGGCCTAAACCAGAGCATGAAGATCTTGTCGATGTTCTGCTTCGGGTTCAGAGGGATCCCAGTCAAGCAATACCCCTCAGTAATGACCAAATTAAGGGTGTTCTCACTGTATGTCGCTTTTTCTTTCTTCTTGCATTTGAGTGTTGCTTATTTGTTAATATACTTTTGCTATTACTTCGACAATCTTCGTGTTAGCTTGATATACAATCGGTATTCGTATGGCTATATATAGAATTTCAGCTGGCTATATATAGAATTTCAGCTGGCTATATACAGAATTTCAGCTGGCTTGATATATACAATCGGTATTCTTGCAGGACATGTTCATTGCAGGCACTGATACTTCCTCAGCCACACTGGTGTGGACAATGGCTGAACTGATTAGGAACCCCCTAGTGTTGAGGAAAGCGCAAGATGAGGTGAGAAGAGTTTTAAAGGGAAAAGCAAAAGTGGAAGAAAGTGATCTTTCTGAACTCATGTACCTAAATCTGGTCTTGAAGGAAAGTTTTAGACTACATCCAGCAGTGCCCTTACTACTTCCAAGAGAAACCTTAAAGAGTTGCACGATTGAAGGGTACGAAATTCCCACCACAACAATGGTGTTTATCCATGCAAAAATGATAGGAAATTTAAATTTGATGTTTGGTATTTGACATCTCCCTTGGAGATGCTTATTACGCTTTTTTTTCTCTTTCTCAGATAGGTATATTACTCTGAAACATATATGTATGTACAAAATTTGTAGCTATACTGTTGGTATATTAATGTAACCAAAATAAAAGTTCAATCTCTAAGGATAACATTTTAGCTGCCCCTTTGTTTTGGTTTCTGAGTAAAAGATGCAAAAGCGGAGGAAAAGAAGACATAAACATTACAATTCCAAATAGTTTAGAGGGAGTTTCACTCTTATGTCCAATATAGGGGCTCAAATTATAAAAAAAATTCATACATGAAATAGATATTAGAAACACACCCAAAATCCATTTACAACGTAACAAAGAGGCTTTGAACTTCCTATAATTTACAAAACTGTCATCATGTCATGATATTTAGGTAGAGATATTTAGTTCTAAACTAGATATCTAGTTAGATATTTAATTTCGAGTTTAGAACCAAAGAAAAGTTGGAGCCTGATACAGGTCATGAGATGAAGCACATTGTCCAACATTATGAGCCGCAAAGTTGCAGTACCTGGCCATGCTAAAGCTCTTTTGATACATCATTTTCCAAACCAGAAGAAGAATCTTGATTTTCTATGGAATTAATTACTTGAATTTAGAATAACTTTGCAGCTTGGGTGATTGCTAAGAGAGCAGCCCTTGCTTCACCTAGAGTTGGATCAAATTTAATGGCAGCAACAAAGTTCATCTTGAACCAATATATAATTCAGTTGGAGGAGACCATTTAGAGGGAGAAACAGGTTTAAAATGTTTGAAGCAAACAGAATCTAACTTTGTCAATCAGGTCATCTTAGGAGGCTCATGGTCTTCTTGAACACTTGTTGAGAACAAACCACACAAGATAGAATAAAATTTATGCAGAAAAAGTAACAAATCAGCAGCTTCAGTGCTGTTAATTCCAAAAGCAGGATATGGAACTAGTAAAGATTTGATCCACTTTGAGATGGTGGCTGGTGCAAGTAACTAGACCCTAATTGGCCAGACTTGCAGCCATATTATAACTACACTGTGGCTGAGGCCCTCAAAGCCAATAACCTCAAAGCATGATTCTGATTTACCTTTTGGGGTCTATAAATGCCTTTTACAAATCACAAAGAGATACAGATCCAATCACTTGAGTTCTCATCCCAGCCTTCCACTTCCACACTGATGAAACAAGTTTGCAGACTAATTATCTACTTAACTTCCAGATTACCCTTTTGAGTAAACTTGATTTGTTCACAGCTTCCTGTCAGTTTTGGTCACATTGCATTTTCTTGGAGTATTTTATAAATATAAATATATAGTCAGTGGGAGTTTTTCAAAGTCCCGAAGAAAAATGGTTAATGGGATGCAGCATCTAATCTAATTTATTAAGCAAATCATCTTCATCATCCCATATAATAATCTTATAAGATAATAAATCAGAAGTTCATGATCATTACTTTTTTCTTTTGTACTTAATAGGTTTGAGCTTTCATCTAGTGGTATATAGCTGCTTCATCTTGATCCCTCACCAAATCATTTGCATCTTTAAAGCTCCTAGGTAATATATTTGTGTTGACTTCTGCAGTGGTCCTGAATCTGATGCTTTTTCTACTAAGAAAAATGCAGGCTTTTGATGCTTCTTCCAGAGAAAAAAACAGTAAAAATTGGCCAATGGATGATCAATTATGAATTGGTAGGCTTTATGCCCTATTAAGACAGGCATAACCTCTACTATGAGCATCTCATGATTCTATATCGTTTGCTTCTTAGTATGGCACCAAAAGAGCCCATTAATAAGGTTCCCCCAGACCATGATTCACTTAATATTTTTATGAGGCATTGTCTTTTCTCTCCACTTTTCCTACTTTTCAAATTCTTTTATTTATTTATCAATAAGATTCGAACTTCAAACCTCCTTCAACAAAGTGAAAACTGAATGCCACGAGACCAAATCATTTTGTGGTTACAAAGTAAAATTGCAATATATCAAAAAGAAGTATATAGGTTATCTTTCAGCTGCATGGCAGCACCTCTCTATTTGTCCAACACACAGCCAATAAAATCTTCCCTTTTGATCGAAAGAAATAAATCTATTAACCTGAGCTGCAATGCAATACTTTTGTTTGCCTATCAAAACAAAAAATATCTGCAATATTCTTTAACCAATTAATGCTGGTCCAGGAAGTTCAATGATGTTAATTTAAAATTTGCAGCAATAAATTTATGTTGAATGCTATATATTAATTTTTGGTCAGAATGTAGGGTGCCAATTGGCAGCAAGGCATTGAATTTCCGAAAAACCTGGTGGTGACATCTGTTTGCTACATATTAAATTCTAGGAAGGTCTGCATGTGATTATTGGTCCTAACATCATTAATCGTTAGTCAAATATATTGTTCTTGATCTAAATGAAGTAGGGCAGAGCAAAAATTGAACCTTTGTCGTAAATATTAAGATAAGTGCTTTATCATTAAAGTCAGAAGTTTTCGCTTAAATCTTCGTTAATAAGTTTCGTGTTAAAGTTTCATAGCTGATGTGTAGCAGTGGAGCTGCCAATATTGAATGAGACTCAATTCTGATTTAGTAATTTAGTAAATGAGACTCAATTCTGCAACCAAAACTAAGAACTTCTGCACAATTTGTTCAATTTGAAATTTTGCTTCACTAAGCCACAAACTTTGTCGCTTACTTCGTAATTATTCTTGGTAAAATTTTACAAATGAAATTCAAAGGTTGAATGGACACTTTGTTCCATGTAATGGAATTATAGGATATGACTCAATGAGCAAAATTACATTTCACCAAAAGGTAAAAAAAATCTAACTTTCTTCTCTTTTTTCTCTTCTTGTTAACTTGCTAGCTGATACTGATATGAGCCATTCACTGTTGCATTTGACCTAGTTCTTGAACATGACAGATACTTTTGTAATCGACAGATGGAAGCCCCACATCAAGTTTACTAGTTCTGATACCACCAAATTGATTCCCAAATACTAAAAACGTATGCTATTCAAATCAATTTCCAAAAACAAACAAGAAAAAAGATATTTAGTCCGGCTTCAATAGATTATGCACAACTACAAACCAAAACAATTCATGGCAAGAAAGTATGATATATAAAATTCCATAACATATATGGAAAATATCCTTGTGACAGTGCCGACAAACTCCTCCTTTTAATGCAAGAAATACTGCATATATATCTAAGTGTTTGCTAGAGGTGGTCATCAAGTCAAGCTCAAGCTCTCTTACTTTTTGCAATGTCTAATTCATTTTCAATTTCTTCCCCTAAACTTGTCTTGTCCACAGGACACACTGCTGTGCAAGAAGCAGGGGCAACTGGTACTCAGAAGAAACGTACCGTTAAGGCTGAAATTTCTACTTCAATCTTCCAAAGGGTAACTGACAATACATCCATTTTTGTGGTTAAATCCTTCTTTTGATTCAACAATTATTGTCCGTGAAAGTGGAGACTGAGTGTCACTAGGCCAAAAGATCGTTGGCTTTCACGACCATAATTGTTGTGATCAACTAACCAAGAGTTTTAATTCCCATTTTCACCATCTGGGATGTCTTTGTTTGTGTGAATAGATGATGGCAGAGCTTGTGGGCACATACATGTGACAATTGTATAGCCAATATTAATATATATTTGAGTCTGTGTCTTTTAAGGGTAGTTAGGTCTTTTACTTATCTAGGGCATCTTTATATGCCTATATATTGTAAGCTTACAGCTGCTGTATATTAATTAATTGTTTTGTGAATATATTGGCATTCTCTGCTTCTGCTTGAATTGTTCACAGAAATGACCCAGGATGTTGGGAGAATCCAAATGAGTTCTGGCCTGAAAGATTCTTGGACAGCTCAATTGACTACAAAGGAAACCATTTTGAACTTTTACCATTTGGGGCAGGAAGGAGGGGTTGTCCTGGTATTAGCTTTAGTGTGAAGCTAATTGAGCTTGCACTTGCTAATCTCCTCTATCGTTTCGACTGGGAACTCCCTCATGGGATGAGAAGAGAAGACTTGGACATGGAAGATGCTGCTGGGCTTTTTTTTTTTTTTTTTTTTTTGGTCTGAACCACGAGGTGGTCCTGGTGGGGCTCAAACTTTGGATGGCACTTTTAAGCCTTAACCACAACCCAGACTAATCCCCGTTCACACCGGGTCGGCCCGTAAGGAGTAAAGTGCTGGCCAAAGTGGTGACTCCATACGAGAGCAGGGATCGAACCCCTGACCTCTCTTAAGGAATGAGAGTGCCGAACCACTCACACCAACCACCTTGGTTGAAGATGCTGCTGGGCTTTCAGTTAGCAAGAAAGTTCCTTTATTTCTAGCTGCTAAACCTGTGCATCCTTCCTTGACAAGCTATGTTGCACAATAAACAGGCCCCATGGCACCACAATTATTTCCATATATGGTATAAAAAAGGTGGTTGTTCAAATCTAGTTATTCTGTTTATCTTCTAGAAAAGTGTTGCTTCCTTGGTTTAAGTCTAGTTATTCGTTTTCCTAAGCTCCGGTGCTCAAGGAAGCCTATTATGTCATGAATAAGACAGCTGACTATAAAAATATATTTCTTGTTCCGTAAGAGTCTTCTTTGTTTATGTTTTATTTGTCATTATTGTTTCCTCTTCTTCATACTCCATTAATTAAAATAAAGAAAGAAATCCACATGGTTATTAAATAATTATATAAAAAAATTCACTATACCCAAAATCTCATATGAATTATTGTGTTGGTTTGTGGCTCTGTTTTGGTATTTTGAAAACCCAAAATTTCAAAGTTGCCAACAGATTATCAACTATGTTGAATGTGATCAGCTCTTCTAAAAAGCTGAACAGATTATCAAACAATTACAAAGCTACAAAAGCATACCTGGCCTGAAATATAATTGCATGTTCAGTGGTGGAAGAGAAAGAAGAGGACAAAGAAGAGACACATATTGGGTAGTCACTTTTCGTTAGTGTAGTTGGACACGTACTTAGTTTTAATTTTGGCTTGATTATTGTCATTTAAGAACACGTCTAAATTCTCGTCCAATTTCTTGACGGAATAAACACGTTTCTCTTAACTGGAGCGGCGTTTTGGATAGAATTGAATGGAAATTTAGATGTGTCCTTAAATTATACAATAATGTGGGTTATATGTTCACAAACTATATATATATCACACCAAATCTCTTATCACTCTTTAAAAAATTGAACAAAAGAACAAAAAGGAGAAACAAGCAATTGATGATATAAAACGAACACTACATATCCAGTGGTTTATCCACTTGAGGGCGACCGAAGGTTATTGCTCCTGCTCGCCCTTTTTACATAATGTCTAAAACGTGTATGTTTTTCTTATCTCCGTTGAACCAAAAAAATTCAATTAAAAAAAATTTCAAACGTGGAATTGGATAAGTCCCACAACTTTGAGTAGGTTTGATACCCATGTGCATTGAAACAACAAAGAAGTCAAATGGCTTTGGTTATGTGCCACGTCTAGAGATAAAGCACGTGTGAAGCACAATTTCCTTAGCTAAATCACAAGTGATTTTTTAACACGTATATCACGTGGGCATTTCAAATTGCACGGCCAAAGAATGCATTTCAAAAGTGGTGTGTGCTTCAACAAATCTCCTCACTCCTTTGCAGCTTGGTAAACCATGTATAGGAAAAGAGTTCAAAAAATTAGGGGAGTTTGACCAACTAATGAAAACTCTCTCGAGAGAGAGGTTGGCAGTTCCTGTTTTGGTAATCCATGACATATGGGTA